TGTGCTATAATGACGATCCTGTGGGAAACTACGTTCCGCGACCTATCGTGGGCATGGTCTTCGATGTTTTACATGTGGGTGGCTGTCTTTGTCATCCATGTGTCTTCTGTTGCGCTTCCTTTGTGGCGCTCCATCAGACACGCAAAAAAGGTCGCGTGGAAACTCGGCAGGGGCAGAGCCTCAGGGTCCCTGATGACAGCAGTGCTTGCGCCAAACAGCGACCGCGATGACCAGGCCAAGCGTGCGGATTTCAACAAGATGCTTGACGATGCTCACGAATACCAGATGTTCCGCGAGTACGCTGCTTCGTGCTTCTGCTCCGAGCTCACCGCCTTTGTTGACGAGTACCAGTCACTCAAGGCCTTGACCATCATGTCTCTTGGCCGCGAGGAGTACTCGGTCGAGACCAGCGACCATCTGCAGACGCCACTGATGATGTCCACCATAGACTCACTGGCCGGGCACCATGGCCATGGAGACCCAGTTAGCCAGCTGGCCATGTCTAACCACCTGGTGGATAGCGTAGTGGTGGCCAATGCCAGGTCGCTGAACCTGCAGACAAACGCCACGGTCAGCATTCTGGACACGGCTCGTGCTGTGTATCCGCAGTACAGGCTGACCGAGCGAACCACATTCCCCTCGGCGCTGATGGATAAGCTAGTGACGATATTCTCCGTCTACATCAACTCGAGCTCATACACGGCTGTCAATGTGCCCCCAATCATGGTTCGTCGGATCCGTGAGAAGCTAAGTCGCCGCGAGATGTACCTGACCATCCTGGACGAGGTCAAGGACGAGGTTCTGTTCATGCTGTATGCAGACGTGTATACAAGGTTCGCGACCAACAACTGAGCAATGCCTTATTAGTGATGATTTCTGCCACGTAGCGCTCCAAAAATATATATATACACACAAATATGCCAATTATCGGCCGTGTCAATGTCCTTGCGATGCTGTCCTGCGCGCGGTATGCACGGCTCATTTCTTGCATGCCAAGAGGGTGGCACTTGGTGCTGATTTCATTTGCGGGGAAAAACACAAAGCCGGCTGTTCCGCCTGACTACGTGCTTGCATGCCTTTCTCTATCTGCACAAACGTCCAGCCCTCAAATTGAAGCCTCCTTTTTTTAAATGTTTACTATTTGACCAGCGCCGTCTCTTTTCTATAAATTATAAATCCTCAGTAACTTGAATGAAGTGATGGAGGCCGGCAGCAGCAGCAGCAGTCGAACCAACCCACCGCAGCAGCACCAGCACCAGCAGCAGTCACCTCCTGACGACGAGGAGGAGGGGCTGGAGGACCTGCCTACTTACGAGGAAACGCTCGAGTCGGCGACACGCAAAAAGTATACCTTGAAGTATCCGCAGGTGATGTCGCGCACAGTGCACGCTGTAGACACTGACACTGGGGCGGTGGCGTATGTCAAGAAAGTCAAGGGACTGACTCCGTCAAAAATGCAGCTCTACAAATGCGCCACCAACAACAATACTACTGGCAGTAGTTCTGCGCTGGCGTGGGACTGTCGACGAGAAGTCCATGGCTTTGAGCTTGTGTTCTCTCGAAAGGTGGACGCTCCGCCGCCGCCGCCGCCGCCGCCGCCGCCTATCTCAATGGCACCTGCATTCAGCCAGCAGCAGCAGCAACAACAACAACAGCAGCAACAGCAGTCGGCAGCTGCTAGCAATGGGGGTAGCAATGGTGGCTCCGAGTCATCTGCACCAGAGTCGCCATACGAACGGGACTTGGATGAAGACGATATTGGTACTACTGCACGCTTGCTTGACAACAAGCCTGCGGACGAGAACCGCGAGTATGTGCACAAGGAGAACGACGACGCGCCGCCGCCTGCCTACGAGGAAAGTGAGTCAGCTGCCGAGCAGCAAGTCCGCCTCAAATCAACGTATCCATTCCCCTTTACTTACGACTTTGCGTTCCCCGACCAGCAGGGCGAAAAGCTCAGATGGCAGCGCAACCAGGAGGCTAAAAACCCAGCCGCTGTGTCGCCCGAAAGGCCGTGGACGGCGTTCATGTGCGTGGATCGGGCCACCGGCCGACTGCTGGCTGAAGTGGTTCATTACTCGAAGAAGGACACTACTCTGGGCACGCTTGTTATTCATGGCGATTTGGATCCCGACCAGCACGAGTTCTTGGTTGTTTCGGCTATCCCTGTCATCGAAGAATACCCAGTCCGGCATCTGCGATATCACACCATGCCCTGACAATGCAAGCACTACTAGTGACACGTTTGATAACTACACTCCCTGGTACATTAGGCTAAGCAATATAAGAAAGGAAACGGATGTGGTCTGCCTATTGGTGGATATAGAACTGCTCAGACTTCCTTTCGGTAATAGGCGCGCCGAAGCGACGAGGGGGAACCCAGCCGCCAAACCTCTTTTCGAGCTGGATGGCGACAGCGATCGTCTTCAGATCCTCGCCTTTGCGCGTAACAACCTGCACACCAAGCGGCAGACCACCCTTGCTCAAACCAATAGGCACCTGGGTAGCGGGGAATCCGAGGGCATTGAAGATAGCCGTGTAAATGTGGTTCAGCGGGCTAAAGTAGCTGACTCCGTGAGGCTGGGCAGTCAATGCATGGGGAGGGAAGATGAGCACGCCATTGTCACCCATCAGGCTCTCAAACTCCTCCCTCAGCTTGTTCCAAATGGGCATGACCTCGTCCCTAGTCTTGGGTCTGACAATGGCCATAGAGAGACACAGCATCAGCGAGTTTAGCGTGTGGCGGGATTTGCCCAGGATGAACGGGATGACCTCACTCTTGTAGTTGAGCGGTGGCAGATTCTCGCCGCCCAGAGTCTCGACAAATCTGGGCTCCCCTGTGGTGATGACTGGGCCAAAGTTGGCAAACGCCAGGCTGGTGGTTGCGGGTGCCTTGGCGAAACGCACATTGTGGTGGCCCACCACCTGCTGACCGAGGTAGTTGGCAACGTTGACGACGGTCTGGCGAAGCTCTGGATCGAGGCTGGAGACAAACAGGTGTGGCCCCACACCATCGGGGAGTGCAACGACACGGAGCTTGGTCAGATCGACGGAGGCAGGGTTGCCGATATCGCGACCAATCAAGGCCGAAACGAAAGGAGCAATATCCTCGGCGTACCGGCAGATAGGTCCAGTGGTGGCACACGCGGCCTTGCCTTGGGTCCTGGGCGAGAGGAAGTGAGGTGGCTCCTTGGGAATCCACTCGGACGTGGTCTTGTGCCCAAAGACACCGCAGAAGAATGCCGGCATGCGGATGCTGCCGCCAATATCTGTGCCAACCCCAATAACAGACCCGCCAGCACCAACAATGGCGCCCTCACCAGACGAGCTGCCACCGGTGTGGCGGCTCAAATCATAAGGGTTTAGCGCACGGCCATAGACAGTGTTGTCGCTCTCCCAAGCCATCAGCAGCTCGGGGTTGTTGGTCACGCCGAGGATGACGAATCCAGCACGGACTAGATTTTCAGTGCGTGGCGACGAGTAGGTCGCTGGGCTGTACTTGGGGTTGTTCTCGCGCCAAGCCAAACCATAGGTGTTGGGCATGCCCTTGACGGCAATGCACTCCTTGATTGTGATGGGAACACCAAGGAAGGGCTTCTTCTCGACGCTGCACTCCTCTGGGATATCACCGCTGGCAATGAGCTTGTCGATTGCACGGGCCTCGGCAAGAGCCTCATCGAAGCGGTCCGCGACGACGGCGTTGAGGAACGGGTTGACCTTCTTGATGCGCTCGATGTAAGCGGCCACAACGGCCTCGGATGTAAGCCTCCCTGAGCGGATCCTGCGAGCCAACTCTGTCGCTGAGAGAAGCAAGACCGAATCATAGTTGTCCAGCGAGGTTTCTTGGTTGAGTGCCAGCCGCCTGACCTGCCTGAGCTTTTGAGGCACCCCGTTATAGCGGCGGATGTAAGCAAAGGCAAGCCTTCTCCAGGGCGCCCACAGAAGAATCTGCAAAGGGCGGAAGATGAGATATCCGATTAGTCTACTGAGGGCAGCCATCAACAAAACGGCTCAAAGCAAAAGGGGATGGAAAAAAGGAGGCTGGTTGGTGGTTTGGTTGGTGCCCGTGCAGGGGGTGCTGCCAAGCTCGGGCCTTATATATAAAGACCAGGAGCACATTGAAGCGCTCGCCTTTTGCGCTGTCGCATATGCAGCTGCTCACCCATTGACAGTGCACGCAGACGACACGCACACCCAGAGCGCATTGCGCAATTCACACCCGTACTAGCGTCAAGCGCGGTCTTGCTTTGCAGAGCTTCCGGGGGGAAGAGGATCCCGGACTTTACATTGCCTCCGTGTAAATCGCTTTAAAGTGCATGACCATCTTGGATGGGCTACACAGGGAAACCCAGTCACAGCTTTGCTCCCGTCGAGCTCCGTGGGCGCGCAGTCGGTAGAGGCACCCAAGCCCGACAGGGCGATTTGGCATCAACCGACGACATCCTAATACCCTCCCTCAAGCTGCACATGGCCTGCATGCAGAAGCCTAGCATCATTTTCAAGAAGGCGGGCATTCAAACCCACCCAGGCCAGTCTGGAGTAGCGTCACTAAACAATTGAAACTGCGTCGTCAGTGCGTGTGGCAGAATAGGATTAATCAGCAGACTGTGCGGGAATAGAACCGAGTCAGTCGCTGTCGAAGAAGGCACGATTGTGCGCAATACAACTCCTGATAACCGATGCAGATATGCCGCTACCTATACACGGAATCCAAGCGCAAAGATGCTGCATCTCATGTTGTTTTGCTTGTTGCTATGTGAGCGCTGAGCAACACGCATGCAGCGCTTGCTGGGGATACTTTGTAGTGTGTTTAAGCACAGCACCGAAATACGCGCCATCTTGGTGTTTCCCTGGAAAAGAGCAAAAGAGATGCAGGAAAACGAGTTTGCTAGCTCTGCCCACAAACCAGAGCTCCTCTTCTACATACGCCAACACCCACCCCTGCCTATTGGCACACAATTGTTGAAGGAGGCAAAAAAAGAGCTTATCGATCAAAAATGTGGAGGACCTGGGTATCGATCCCAGTACCTCGCGCATGCTAAGCGCGCGCTCTCCCATCTGAGCTAGACCCCCTGATCTTAATCTTTCTTCTGATCGGTAGAAAATTATTTATATACCAATAATACGTCATATGTAAAATATGCCATTCTGCATTATGAGCGCACCCTCAAACGCATGCAAATAGAGCCGCTAATCCAAGGAAATATATGCGCAACAACGCTGACCAAGGCATACGAATGCACTTGTAAGTGTCGAAAAGGAGACGATAAATGGAAACAAGATACCACTGGACATGAGCTATCAAGAGCGGCACATACCACAAAACCTACTCCAAAGCGATAATGCGGAAAATCTGCAGCGGTACTGTTAAACCATATCGGGGTTGGATGAATTGGAACACTAAGATATTGGCAGAAATGACACTAAGCGCCTAATAAATGACAGTGGCAACACTGGCCCAATAGTCGTTCTTGAGAATGCACTTCATCACCGGGGCACCAGCGGCAATGTACAGTGTAACTCCCTTGTCGCCTGGCGGGCTAGGTAGGAGTATGATGAGGTTGGAGGCTTGCACTTGAACAGGAGAGATCCATGAAGGAGCACCGTCGCCAAAGTCAGCACCATATATCTCGAATCGCGTCTGATTCGAGGTAACCAGCGTGTTGGGGTGCTTGGCAGAGTAGGCCATGTACTGCGTGAAGCATGAGCGCATGCTGGATATCATATCGACAAACTCCCCAACATACGGTGCATCAATGTTGTTTACATGTTGTCTGACGCTTGACACAGTATCTGCCAGGGATTTTGCCGTGGTTGGCTCAAGCAGTTTTTCAAGAGGGTTGCTGAAATAAGACACCATCATTGCGTTGCCCAGGTAATTCATGTCAACGATGCCAAGGCGGTGGCGAATGTTGCTGACAATGGCGATTGTCTGCTGCGTCTCCTTGCCAAACACTCGGCTGCACAGAGAGCTGAATGCTGAAGCAACCAGCTGGATGACCCCACCGCTAGTGCTCGTATCCACCTCGTTTTGCACCTGAGCAAAAGTCTTGCTGACCAGTGCGGTTATCAAATCGTTGGTGGACACACGCATTTTCCTGGGTGCAGCAGCGATAACCTCTGAGCGCATCGTCTCAAGCGACTTTTTAGGGACACGAAATACATGACCATCGAGATTAGTCATGGATGCCAGCTTGTTTAGAAGCGCACCGCGAGTCTTGGGCGAAATCCACGCAAGCCATTCACCAAACAGACTGGTGGTTTTGTAGACAAGATCCGTCGTGTTATCCAGAGGTTTGCGGGCAAAAGGGAGGTTCTTCGCGATGATAGAGCGGTCAAACAGAAAATCCGAGCGGTCGACCTCTGCACCACACGTCCCATTGCGCATGTCTTTGCACAGACTCGCCCACTGGTTCAGAAGCGCCAAGTAGCCTGTGCCATCCATTGGAAAGTGTGGAATGCTGACGAACAGCATCACGCCACTATTGTCTCTCAGCCTGATAATGTGGACAGTTGCGAGCTTGATTTCACCACTGGCACCAGCAGCAGGGACAAGACCGCTATTTGTCACGCCTTGTGGCCAGGCGGACCAGCTGTACCGGGCAGCCTTGATATCACCGAAGTGGGTGTCGCTTGATGACTCGGTGTACTCGGGCATATTGAGGTTGCTCTTGTCCACAACAATATTCAGTAGGCCCTTGCCTGCATCTCTCAAGTGTCCAGCCAGGATGGGGAACTTCTTCAGAGCCTTGTAGAACGAGTCCTTGAGGATCTCGGAGGGCATAAAGTCATGGACACGGCTTGCGTTCTCAAAGAATAGAACGTATGGCATGCTGAACAGAGATACCAGTGTATCCATGGGGCAGAGGGGAAAGACTTGCGTTCCGACAGAGGCGAGGAATTCATCCATTTGAAGAACGATACTCTGGCGGCGGGTGGATGGGATCAGCAAAGGATATAGGAAGGGGATGTCGTGTCAGAGAAAGGTATTCACATGAGGTATTCTGCCGGCAGAAATGCTAGACGCACGTATTTATAATGGCGCCCAGGCACTTGCGATCCAGCTGCCCAGCAGGAGCACACCACGTTCCTCGGCGACTTGCTCCGAGGCATTACGCATCACCACTATCTGCTCCTTCCATATGGTGGCTTTGCCCTTGCCTTGTCTATCTGCCATGTATCGTTCTCGGTACAGGATGGCAGCATGCATGGCGCTGTCAATTCAAGATCAGAAGCGCTGTACGCCTCCCTCTCGCGCTATAGCCACTAATACCCTGCACAAACAGCACACAACAAGCAGCGCCAAGGGCACTAGCATCTCATACTCTTTCCCCATGTCCAACAAATGCTAGTTGCATAAAATGCCGTGCTCTCCTTGCTACTGCGCCTCGTCGCTACCAGCAGACAACCCCATGGTGCGGAATGTGGAGTGATGAGGTATCATTCTTCACCAATATGGCAAAGGGGGAAACGGTGGCTACGCCCAAAAGGAAACGACAAGTTGTCAAATCTGCGCCATTTCTTCTGCATATGTTTAGCCAGCTCACATTGCGTGTCAGGCGAAAGGAGGCGGTAGAATGGCAGAATGGCTCAAGAACCACGCTCAAACAATGCCGAATATAGCACATCGCGTGCCTCCTCCTATCAAATAAATAGCTGAGGGTGAGTGATAATCTATTGTGTACTATCTCGCAGCGTCCCTTCCGTGTGGTGGCGGGCATTGCCATTAGTCCCTATGCTAGTTGCCAAATTTGGCGCGATCCCAAATTCCGTGGCTGTTCCAAGCCAGGACACAGGCTACATCTGCAAACAACGAGAGAGTGGTTGTTAGAGGAGAGAGAGAAAGGTGGCTTGTCCGAAGCAAATACGGGTGTCCTATCTACTCAAGCTGCACCACCATTGATCACGCACATCCATACCATGTGAATATGAGTGGCCACATGGTCAACCCTATATGCGCTTGCAATATGAAGGGCATCCTTTTCAGAGCAGAGCAGACCAAACATTACGCTGCTCTTGCATCTGATCGCAAGCATACGTCCATGCCAGTAGGCAGCTGCTATTTACATGTTCATGCTCTTGAATGATGCCAGCCGTGGCGAAATGAAAAGCCGAATGTCTCTTCATTGAAGCATGTCGAATGCCTCCACGCAATCTACTTAAAACAGCATAAACCGCTTCTCTCGCTACTAAGCAGACATATCCAGCCATGCTTTTCCGCCACCACAACGATCTTGGTCACTGCCTTCCCTGCATGGTCAGCCGCCATTACTGCCAATTGCAAAGCAGGGCGCACAAGCAGCAAGCACCTCTTCTTGTAAACACCACATTTCATCACAACATGTAGCTGTAGCTAACTTTGTAGTAACATTTGTGTAATAAAAATAATATTTGTATACCTATTTGAGTGCTCTCCTGAGATCATCAAACTTCTTGGCCAGAACCTCTCTCTGGTTTTCGCTCTCTGCATACAGCATCTTGATCTGAATCAGGGCCTCCTCAACGTCTTGCACATGGTCCTCGAGCCTCTGGTTGTTCATCGCCAGCTGCAGGTTCTTTTGCGCCAGCTGGTCCATCTCATCCTTCAGCTGTGTCTCAGCAGCCGACCTCTCCACACCCACACGCTCCTCTAGTCCCTTGACCACCGACTCCAGCCTGACCTTCTCTTCGCGCAGCTGCTGCGCCGCACGCTGGGCTTCGGAAAACGACGAGGTCAGGTCGCTGTGCTCGAGCGACATTTGCTGCAGCATCACCTGCAGATGCCCGCTCTCCTTCTTCAGAGACTCGTTCTCAGATCTCAGCCTGTTGCTCTCCTCCTCCTCCTCCATTCTGCGCTCCACTTCCTCTATGTACTGCCTGCGCAGCTTCTGCAGCAGCCTCGGTGTGATTGCCGTCACCTGGTTTGCATCTTTGACCAGCGTGTCAGGTGCCGCATGCGAGTAGAACGCAAACAGGGGTCCCTCGTTGAGGTACTGCAAGATGGCCTCGAATCTCAGGCTCAGCAGCCGGGTCTGCGACCTGCGCAGAACAGCAATTGCCACGCGCAGCAGTGAATCCAGGCCCTCAGCAAACACAACATCGAACAGCCGGAACGTCAGGTCGATGGGCAGTCGGTACGCAAACATCGTCATCAGCCACTGCGACACATACATTGTCGGCTCTACGCCCTGCTCTTGGAAATGCTTGGCGAGCAGTGGCAGCGTCTCCGTAAACACATGGTCGAACTGGTACAGCCGTAGCTGCAGGTCGTCCATTGTCGGCAAGAAGTGGCCGCGCAGTCCGTAAGTGTACATCAGCCGCACCAGAACGCAGAACGCCTCCTCGTCAGGCATGTTCAGCAGCAGCGGGCCAACGATAAACGACAGGCCTTGGCAGTACCCGACCTCCTCGTCGTATAGCGAGTAGGCTCTAAGCACGTTGAACAGGCCCTCCTGTCCGGCTCCCTCCGTGTCGCGGAAGTAGTCAAGCTTAGGGAACGTGCGCGCGAGGTCGTGCCTTATCAGCTTCTCGTTCTTCAACTCTTCCTCGTTAGCGGAATCGCTCCGCTGCTCCACCAGCTTGCGGTACGTGTCGCCAAGAGCAGGGTCATTGCGCGATTCAGACATTAGCTGCCACACCGTGCCGCGAATGGCCTTGGGAATGCCGCTGTGAACTGACTTGGCCAGCTTGCGCGAGTCTGACTTCGCAACACGGCTGTAGTCGTTAATTAGGTTGCCCCAAAAGTCCCAATCAACATCCGCATCCTCGCCGTCTTCGGCGCTTTCCTTGTTCTGAGCCAGCTGCTCCTTCAGCGACTCGCGCGCAAACACACGCGCCTTGTTGTCGTTGAGGATCTGCTGGTTCTGGGCCTCAAGCTGGTGCAGCAGCATATCAACCACCTCGTTGTTGGCTCCACGATCACCGCCAGCAATGTCCACAGAGCTGTTATCCGAGTGGCTAGCCCGCATTCCAGGGAACTCCATAGTAGCGCCCGATCCAGTGCTCGACGATCCACGGGTCATACCGTGTATCGCAGCAGCACCGGTTATGCCAACCCCTGCAACTGCTGCCGCTGCCCCTGTCGATGAAGGCGA